GCGGGATTACCACTCTGCGCCTTTGAGATGGTGGGGTCTCTCACGCGCCACGCTTTCCCCTTTCCTTTCCCGGCCACGTAACTCTTCTCCTTTCAGCAACTTGCCCGGAGTGCAAAAAAAAAAAAAAAAGAATACTGCCAAAAAAAAAAAAAGAAAGCTGCCGTGAAGTGTTGGTTTTCTCTCAAATCACAGAGGAAGGAAAGAGTTTTTTCCTTCCTCTATGTCTCAATTGCTGATCTGCTGCTCTCCACGTGGAGACGCTCCTCTTTTCTGGTCACGTGCTGGCCATGCTGCCGCTTCGCTACGCAGTCATTGTTGTCCTCGTCTTTAGCGAGTGACGGCGCTGGAAATTTCCGCGTGCAACTTCTCTTGCCAGGAGAATGCTGAAGCCAAAGTAGAAATGCTCTGCAAGCTACGTGCGAACTTGATTGACTCGCTGCAAGGCAAATGTGTGCAAACATGCATCACCGATTACTTCAATTAATAACGGATGTCCTGTGATTTGTGAATAAATGTAAGTCTCCTGAAACTTCCCCCTCATGTGTTAGCTCAATGCACATGCGCCACTGCATGGAGAGCCCTCTGTTTAGTTAGCTTTCATTAAGTTGAACTTCTTTTAATTCAAATTAATTTTTGGGCCCCTTCGAGTTCCAATTATTGAGATTCAACTGTACTTTGTTTTTGTGTTTGACATGGTGAAATTGCCGAAAAGCACTGTAAGAAATATGTTATTTGTGTATTCTAAAAATTTAGTATCTTCTGTTTTGATGCAGCTATTGAAAATCTACTTGGGGATTTAAAATCTGCAGAAGAAAGTGAATAAGTGTATTAAGTTTTATTGAATTCAGACAAACGAAAAAATTTTTCAGGACCCACGTTCCTTCTTAACATAGAAAAACAGTGATGTTGACGAAGCTACTGGCGTCCCCTCCGATCCTGAGTTGTGTCTAGAGGTAGCAACTTGGTTCCCTGTATTACAAGACTGAACGAAGTTCTACTCCTGGAAGGCCAAGCTTTTCCAGAAAAAAAGTTTTTTTTTTTCAAATTCGCTTTTCGTGCTGTGCTGAAAGCTTCAAAGCGAAGTCAGCCAGAGAGTTGCGCTACGAAACCGAGTGGCTGATTACTTGCCTGCTCCCTAAAATATCGAGACCTGCTGTTGCTTATAGGTTGATGTTAGAGGTGAATGTACTGCCTCTGCGACATCGTCGCACCTCAAAGGGCCCCTAAACTACCCAGCGGTCGAAATTCAGGTCAGGTGAGGAAGTTGTGCTCGAGTTTACAACGAACACGTAGCCGTGAGAATTTCGCGAAACGGTGCCGTAATAGCGGAGTTCAATATAGCAGTACTCCATGTTAACGTCGGACACATCGCCACCTACGGCCGACACACGACACACGGCCCTGGAAATTCACGGTTTCTTCTAGTTGCCGGAGTTCCCTTTTGTGCTTTAATGCCACTTATTTAGACAAGTGTGCAGGAATATTCGAAAAAATGCGAGGAACAGCACCGGGCTTTAATGCCAACGTACCACATTGAATTTTTACATTTCCACCTACTATGTGCTCGCAGCAAGCGATTAGGTCCTCGGATTCGAAATGAAGGTCTTGACTGTCACCTGAAAGGCTTCTCGTGAAATAGCAGCTGCGCAAGCCTTGAGAACTGCAGGATTATTTGGAGTTTGAAGAAGTTTTGTTGATCACAAGTGTTTTTCTTGGAGGCATAGCTACTTCGACAGCCTGGCGCGCTACAGGTCGGCATGATTACTATCTACTGCTCATTCACTCAAGCATGCTTGATCGTCGTGTCACGTGCGAAATACAAAATGCGAAAGAGCTTTTCCAAATAGAAGTTGTTTAAATACTGGCTGTATGTCATCTATTGCACTGTGTTCTATTTTTTCTTAAATTATTCTTCCATAACTTTGGAAGCACTTTTCCTAACTCCCCGGATGATTTCAGCTACAATCCAAGGAGTTTGTGTATGAAATTCATCTTCACATAAAATTTATACCATTTATGTAAGCTGTGCCAGCGTGAGGCTTCCAGGCTCACTGATATAATGCACAGCAGGATTGTGGTGCTAATTCGCGCAAGACCGCCCATGTGGCCTGTCTATTTTTCCTTGGCTGTTAAAAAAAAAAAAAGAAAACACAGCTGTTCTGAAATATATTCTTACATGCAATTTATACGATGTGTAATTACAACAGGCTTGTTCGCTTAAAATCGTCCACAACTTGAAGGTGCAGATGAATCCTATTTATTGCAGATGCGCAGGCAGAATTGTTTTTCGGGGGGTTAGGGGCACCACTTTGATCTGAAAAGGGTGCCGGACAGATAAGTGTGGTCGAGTGTCACTTTTTGCTCTGTAAACAATAGCGAAAAGTTTTTTTTTTTGGGGGGGGGGGGGGGTAGAATGGCACTGGTGTGGTGTTCCACCCGCTGGCCACATCACTAAGTCATTGCAGGCAAACAAATAATCATACATTTCTTACGTACAGACGCGGCTCTTATTTATCACTAAGTGGTATTCATTCGGCCCTCATCAAGCTGCTTTAATTACAATCCGTGTACTTGGAAACTAATTTTCCGCTGTTTCACATGTAAAGATAGCAGACGCCGCTCCTTCGCCAAGCCCGAAGCGACAGCAGCGCCGCCGCTGTGCGGTTTACAGGAGGGGGCCGCTTCTTGCCGCTCCAACCATGCGCGCTTACCAAACTGACATTATCTAAAAACGTTGGTGGAGCCTATATTTATTCTTAGGTTGTCACCGACTACAGTATGATTGCTGATGTCTGAGAAAGTTACTGGCACTCATTTGGAGCAGCAAATGACATTTCTGCTGCCCCTAAAAAAAAAAATACTTATTTGCCAGTTCTTTTTTTTTTTAATTGCGATAGCAATTACATAGACACTCAAGGTTGGTTTTTGCCGACAGCGTTGGCGTCATGCACCATACGTATCTATATATATATAAATATTCAAGAAAGAAAAAAAGCCGGCCGCGCTCGGCACCCAGTTCGTTGCAATGCGCCGATGCACGCTTATCTCCCACGCTTACTTTGACTCGTGGATGGGGGTGGGGTAGGTTTGGGGGTTAGATGCTTGAGCGTGTGCGCTTATCCTTCGGTGGGGAGAATCGTGTGCCTTGGCCTTTCACTGGAACAAGTGCGTAAGTTGCCCCGAAAATCGAACGCTGAAGAGTGTCAGCATCCAAAATTTCAATCGCTTATATACGTAGATGTTCATAGGGCTTGTGATGGTGTCGCGAAATTATCCTAATTCGCTGATTGATATCTGTGGTTTAACGTCCCAAAACTACCATGTGATTACGAGAGACGTCGTAGTGGAGGGCTCTGGAAATTTCGAGCCACTGGGGTTTTTTAACGTGCACCTAAACCTGAGCACACTGGTTTACAGCATTTTCGCCTCCGTAGAAAATGCAGCCGCCGCAGCTAAGATTCTATCCCGTGACCTGTGGGTCAGTAGCCAATCCGAATTTGCTAGCTTGTCCGAAAAATTTGGCGTCCAAAGAGAAAAAAAATCGATGGTCGACTTTTCAGTCATGTTTTAACGAAGTTCAGTCATGTTTTAATGAAGTACTGTGGTTCTTTCATCATTGGCTTTTTTTATTAAATACAATGAGGGTATGTGTGGTTGATATAATTCTCTTTTTTTATACTTTTAAATGCTTGAATAGCCTGTTACACATTGCGATCTTTCATTTGTGTGTCATGAACACAGTATCTAAAAACAATAGGAAGCAGAAGATGGAAGCTTGCGATGAGAAAATCTGTGAACTGGCGCTGTGTCTGGCCGACGTTTGGATAAGCGGACTTGTCTTTCTCAAGACTAGAACAGAACAGTTTTTGGTTCTAGCCTTGAAAAAATGTTTGCTTGTTGAAGTATAGTTTGACACAAACCCTGTTGACGATTTTTTTCATGAACACTGTATGCCTCTTAAAATTTATTATAAAAATATTTGCTCCAAAATTCAGTTTTGCTGCTCCAAACGAACGCGGCTTCAGCTTCAAACACCTCACTCTTTTTCACGCAGATTGCATAATCAGTTCAGCTTCATGCGCATATACGGGTCTACTAATGCATTCAATTCATCACCACTGCCTCGGGCCGTTCGTCTTTGGAATGACCTCCCTGATTGCATAGCCTCCATATCTAATCCTGATACATTTCGCCGTCAGCTACTCACTCTGTTCACCATGTGACCCGGTGATTTATATTCCCCTTGTCTTTTATTTTAAAATGTATCCCTCTGTCGCCATGTTCATATCAACAAGTGCTGTATTCCCTCAAATTTACCTCGCCTTGTATAGCCTAAAATGTGATCTCATTTATATATATATATATACTTTTTCGTTGTTTTTGCACTGATCCTGCCTGTAAACTGTTCATTCCGATTCCTCCCCCCCTTACCCAATGCCCTGTTCTGGGGCCTGTAAGGTTTTTTTTGAATAAAGAATAAAATGCATTTTTGCTTGCTCCAAAAGCTGCTCCAAACCAGCCTAAGTCAGTAGCATCACTGAGTGGGGCTAACAGTTTTTCACATCAAATTTAAGTAACATTAAAATAAAAACAGGATGTATGCATGGCCTTATTCTTTAATGGTCAATATTTGATGGCTCTATATCTGCTTTAGCCTATGGGTTAATAACGGCAATCTGTCAGTAAACTGTGCCTGTAGCAAAGCTGCTGTATTAAATATATATTACAGTTAAACCCCTTTATAAGAGACACTGATGTAAGATACAGTTGGGAATGAAAGACACCAGAGTGCCTAAATTGAAATAGCGGTTGATCAGAAAATGCATGCGTGGTATTATGCTTATAAGAGGTACCTCATATAAATAACAATTGCTGCCCAGTGCATGCCGCCTCTTAAGAAGGGGTTCAACTGTAGTCGGGGGCCATAGTCACTTGAAATGATTGTGCAGAGCGTTAGTGCAGTTTAGCTGTCTCGCCATGTTTGAACTATGTGTGTGCAGGAGACTCAAATGCAGCGTGCTAAGGAGCAGTTTTCAGCACGGTTGGATGCTCCCAAGGAGGCGCCTGTGGTCACTGAACAGATCAGGTACAGCTTTCATTCTAATCAGTTCCTGTCATTGACTGATATCAGGGGCCTAGCCAGAAATTTCTTTGGGGAGGGGTGGGGAGGGGGGGTGACACAGGCATCAGCTTTTCTCTGCGACGTGTCTATCAGTAGTAGTTTGAAGAGATTGGGTACGTGTATATCAGTCATGAGACTCCCCCCTTTCCCCATGCGTATGCTTGTTATGAGAGTAAGTGAAAGTAAAGTAATCACAGTAAAATAGAGTGAACTACAGGTAATCAGTTAATTGATATGTGGGATTTAACGCCCCAAAACCACTATATGATTAAGAGAGATGCCGTAGTGGAGGGCTCCGGAAATTTCGACCACCTGGGGTTCTTACACGTGCACCCAAATCTGAGCATACGGGCCTACAGCATTTTCGCCTCTAACGAAATACAGCCGCAGCAGCTGGGATTCGATCCAGAGACCTGCAGGTTAGCAGCCGAGTACCTTAGCCACTAGACCTCAGCGGCGAGTGTAAACAATGGGTAGAGTGATCATCTAGAGCAACGACCTCTCTTCACATCTTTGAATGGACTAGTCTTCGAAAACGCATAATTGCTATGACCCACCTGATCGGGGAAGACATCGTTAATATTTATTCTCTGTTAAATGTAAATGGCATTTAGGTTCGTCATGGTGAAGTGCATTTCACAAGTGAATCACGCCTCTGCTTACAATGAAGAACTAGAGGTATACGTAGCATGTTTTTGTACATTCATAATTACGTTTCGTTTTTGCTTACTTTGCTGAGCAAATGCTTTCTTACTGTCTATGTTTGTGAGATGGACATGTTTGTCTAAAGAAATGATTTTTATTTTAAGCTCTAATGTCAAGCAGCCCTGGCGCAGTGATAGGTTTTACTCAACATTTTTTTTTACTGCATTCATCAAGCATGCTTGCAATACGCAATAAGTAATTACAGTCGCCGATCGTTTATTCGGACTCGACGGGAACCGCCAAAGCGTCCGAATAATCGGGAGTCCGAAAAAACGGATTCACTCGAAAAAGCACTTTTATAGGCCTTATCGCCCGAAAAAACGGTCATGTCTGCACACACGCACGCTTCTGAGACGGTTTGCTTGGAAATAGAAAATTCAGCCTTCAGACTAAAGTAGGCCGCCTTCTACCTGGCGATTTATATCCGCTTTCTTCGTCATCGTGAGCGTCTTGTAGCTCCCATGTTGGCCGCATTTCTTCACGTGATCCCGACGGCGCAGCAATGGGTGGCGTCGTAGCCATTTCACCACACCATGGAACACGCAAGAGAGCGAGAACACAGACAACAAGACGAACCAGGCCTAGCCGCAAAAGCAGCTGACTGACACTGCTGACAAACGCCACAGCGAACAGACTCTGTAGGTGGCTTGGCTTGGCCGCTCGACTGGCTAAAAAAAAGCGTCGCCAGACATAGCCTTTGAGATCGGTAATGGCAATTTCTGCGTGCATTTTGACACCGGCCAGACATTCATTCATAGCTAGTGCAGCATATCAGTGCTGGCAACCTAGCAAACATATTGTTAACGTCGCTCTCAGCGTGTAATGGCGTACGGCGACGCATCCGGTCAGTCAAACGGAGTCCGAATAACCGAATGGCGCACAGTTGGGCGTCCGAATTTTCGGTTGTGAGTTTACATTAGGATCAATGGGGAGTGTGGCGGTGCCATGAAGATGTTGGAATAAACGGGCATGTCCGAATTTTCGGCGGCCGAATAAAGGGTGAGCGACTGTATGTTGTAAGTTATGCTGCACGTTGGCAACACGATTTTGCATGCGTTATTTTTTTGGCAGACCTTCCCGCAGTCTTAGTGGACATTACAGCTACACTGTGACTTTTGATAGCAGTGAAGACTTTCAATCGTAAAGGTTTTATTGTGCAATCTGCAAGGGCAAAGTAATCATTATTGAGAAATGGTCGGTTGGTCTCAAACAAAAATGCACCTGGTATGAATCATGAAACTAAATAGCTACACAAATGGAAATGTCTTGTTCCCTGGGTTGGTCATGCTAGAAAACTTCAATACGCGCAAAAACGTGCAATGTTCTTGTTTTACTTATTTTTTTATTGTAGCTTTCGTCACTCTGCCCCTTGAAACGATAGCATTGCGGCAAGGCGTCTTTCGTTGTTTGCAAGCGTGCAGCCGTTATTTCCCTTTATGTCAACAGATTCAGAACTGTACAGAACATTTTGCTCTACAGTATATATGCCACTGTTCTAACTAGTACGTGCATTCATGTTTGCAGCACTTACACCGGCGCGAACAGGAGCAGCCTCGTACCACACAAAATCTTGAGTGATCGGTTCAGTAGTGGGGAAGGAATATACTCTGGTCTTCACGGAGCATAGTGCACCATAATCAATTTCTCAGAACGTGTGAACTCCGACGAGAACTGCCAGCGCATGCAACACGAGTTTACTAACGCTGTAATGTGTCGGTTGTCTGTTACGGGTATTCAGATGCGAGTTGCTGAAACTTCACTGCTGGAATCAACACCTTCGCGATCATTCACGTTAGAATCTACCAGCCTTCTCCAGCAGGGCAATCACAAACGTGAGACGTTTCGCCACAGAGTAAGATACTGGGAAAGCGCGACTTTACCAGCACCTAAGGGAAGCGGAGTAAATTTATACCTCTCTTGTGTGGGGCACAGCCACAAATGCAAATAATGTTACGAGTAACTTATTTAATAGATGATATACGATGGACCGTGCTAGGCGAACAAGATGGCGACAGTTCATCAACAACCAGCAAACAACGTCGTCTTTCTCTTTCTTGCAGCAAGGCTGTGCCGGCTGTTGTGTATCATAACCCCCCGGGGGTAGAAGCACCGTCTTGGTGCTTGAGTCGAGCTATGTGCACGATGTCACTCGAAGGTGACGATGATGATGTTGGATCGGCTGGAACGATCTTGTATGTAACGTCAGTCACCTGGCGAACGACTCAGTATCGTCCAGTGTAGCGTGACAGCAGTTTTTCAGAAAGCCCTACACGCCGAGCGGGAGACCAGAGGAGGACAAGGGAACCCGATGAAAAGTGCTTGTTTCGATGATAGGAATCACAGAGCTGTCTTTGGTGCTCCTGTGAGGCCTGCAGATGGCTGCGGGTGAGTTGGCGTGTGTGGTCGGCTTGCGCGATGGCTTCACCGGCATACTCAGTGACCGAGGGCAGCAAGGTGTCAAATGGTAGGGCGGGTTCTTGGCCGTATAGCTGATAAAATGGTGAATAGCCGGCAGTGTCGTGACGTGACGAATTATATGCGAACATCACAAATGGCAAATGAATGTCCCAGTCCTGGTGGTCGGCTGCTACGTATTTAGAAAGCATGTCGGTTATGGTGCGGTGGAGGCGCTCCATAAGACCATTCGTTTGCGGATGGTACGAAGTGGCAAACTTGCGCTTGGCAGAGCAAGAGTGCAGGATTTCATCAATGACAGCCAATAGGAACGTCCGGCCGCGGTCAGTGAGAAATTGGCGTGGAGCTCCGTGTACTAAAATAATATCATATACCAGAAAGTCCGCCACATCGGTTACGCAACTCGTCGGAAGTGCTCGTGTGATAGCGTACCGTGTCGCATAGTCAGTGGTGACAGCAATCTATTTGTTGCCTGAGCTGGAGATCGGGAATGGGCCGAGCAGGTCGAGGCCAACTCGAAAAAAATGTTCAGTGGGAATGTCGATCGGCTGAAGGAATCCAGCTGGTAGGGAAGATGGCTTTTTGTGGCGCTGGCAGGGCTCACAAGCAGCGACGTAGCGTTGAACAGAGCGGGCAAGACCAGGTCAAAAGAAACAACGACGTACACGGTCGTATGTGCGAGAGATGCCCAAGTGGCCCGCCAAAGGAGCGTCATGAAGTTGGTTGAGGACAGTCGCACAAAGATGTGCTGGTATGACGGGGAGGAAGTCATGGCCATATGGATCGAGGTTACGGCGATACAGGATCCCGTCTTTAACCAGGAACATTTGTAGAGATGCGTCGCGAGGCATTGACTCAAGCTTGTCAATGATGGTTCGCAGGGAAACATCTTGGCGTTGTTCGTGGCCAAGGTTGAGTAGCTGCGTCTCAGACAGAAGGTCTGGAAAGGTGTCAGTATGGGCAGCTTCTTCCACATAGTAGCGTGATAAACAATCCGCATCTTGATGTGACCGCCCTGTTTTGTACGTTACGGTGAACGTGTATTCTTGTAATCGTAGGGACCAACGAGCGAGGCGTTTTGTGAGTGAGGCCAGCCAGCAGAGCGCGCGGTGGTCGGTGACTACCCGGAATGGACGCCCGTATAAGTATGGGCGAAACTTGGCGACTGCCCACACAAGAGCGACAGACTCACGCTCCGTGATTGAATAGTAGCGCTCGGCGGAAGATAGCAGTCGGCTTGCATATGCTATAACACGGTCATGTCCGCGTTGGTGTTGTAATAGCATTGCCCCTATGCCGTGCCCACTAGCGTCAGTGCGAACCTTAGTTGGAGCTGATGGATCGAAATGAGCTAAAATCGGCGGTGTTGTAAGGAGCGTCGTGAGCTGGGAAAAAGATGAGGATTGATCAGCGCCCCAGAAAAACGGGGTGTCCTTCTTCAGGAGGTTTGTGAGTGGGCGTGCAATGATCGCGAAGTCCTTAACAAACCGTCGAAAGTAGGAGCACCAGCCCACAAAACTGCAAACGTCCTTTGTTGACTTGGGAACAGGAAAGTCCTTGACGGCGCGAATTTTCTCGTGATCCGGGCGGACTCCTGCGGCATCGACGATGTGGCCAAGTACGGTTATTTGACGACGAGCGAAGTGGCATTTCGACGAGTTCAATTGAAGTCCGGCTCGACGAAAAACTTCAAGAATCGCCGATAAACGCTCGAGATGGGAGTCGAATGTGGGCGAGAAAACGATAACGTCGTCTAAATAACATAAGCAGGTTGACCATTTAAACCCTTGAAACAATGAGTCCATCATTCTTTCGAATGTGGCCGGCGCATTACAGAGACCGAAGGGCATAACTTGGAAGTGATAAAGACCGCCAGGAGTGACGAATGCGGTCTTCTCACGGTCCATCTCGTCCACAGAGATCTGCCAATAGCCAGATTGAAGGTTGATAGTGGAAAAATACGTAGCACTGTAAAGGCAGTCTAAGGCATCGTCGATTCTAGGCAACGGGTAAACATCTTTCTTCGTAATTTTGTTGAGATGCCGGTAATCTAGACAAAAGCGCAATGTTCCATCCTTCTTTCTGATCAGGACGACAGGAGAAGCCCAGGGGCTACAAGAGGGCTCGATTATGTCTTTTGCAAGCATCTTTTCGACTTCCTGTTGTAGGACTGTACGTTCGGACGCGGAAACACGGTTTGGACGTCAGTGAATGGGACTCTCGTCACCAGTATTGATGCGATGAGTAACAACACTAGTTTGGCTTGAGGCTGTGCTGACGAAGTCGAAAATGTCACTATAGGACTCCAGAACGTGACGAAGGGCTTCTGCTTGATCAGGAGCGAGGTCTGATGGTACCATGTGGTCAACGTCGACGCCCGATGAAGGTGATAGAGTAGGTTCATGGTCTGAGGTGCAGCAATCATCTACTCTGAAGGGTTCAACCATATGGTCTTGTACGGCAGTAATTTTGGCCTGGGAGATACCTTGTGGAAGAATTTTGGCAGCTAAGACAGAATTGACAATAGGAAGCATGAATTGACAATCACGGCATGAATTGGTGCCACCATGTAATCGCTGTCAGGTACAGGTGGCGTAGAGAAGAGGTCGATATGTGTGACACAGTTAGGCGGAAGGCGTGTGAAATCAATGCAGCAAAGACGGCTTTGGGGTAGGTCGGTCAGATCAGCAAGTAGAGACATTTCAAGGTCAAGACAGCCGGCTGAACAATCTATAAGGGCCGATTGAGAGGTTAGGAAATCCATGCCTAGAATTACTTCATAAGGGCAATTTTTTATAACGGTGAAAAGAACAGTAACGGTGAATGTGCTCTGCCCGTGTGACTATCGCTTCTATCGGCGATAGTCACATGGGCAGAGCACATGCCAATAATGGCGGCAGTTTCTCCGTCGGCGACTCGAACGCTCGGTTCAAGGCGGGTGTGATAACTTTCTCTAGGCGGTGACAAAGAGCAGCACTCATTATGGACACATGCGTGCCGGTATCGATTAACGTGTGCACAGGTACATTGTCTAAAGTAACGTTCAACAGATTCCGGGTGGTCGGTAATGTTACACGAGGATTTCTTGCAGAAGTCGTCGTGAATGCAGCTTCACCTCCAGAAGCTGCACTGCCCAGTTTTCCGGTCGGCGGCATTGCGAGTAGGTCGGAGAGGCAGGACGGCATTGTGGGGGCGAACGAAATTGACGGCGAGCAGGGGATGGTGAGCGGGCGTAGCGAGGTCTCGTCAGAGGTGCGGCAGAATCAGAGGATGTGGTCGGCATAGGGGAATCAAAATCAAATGCTGAAGACGACTGGTGGACAGAAGTGGCCTGGGTAGGAGGCCGATAGTGTGCCGGCGGAGCCCAGTGATTGCGGCAGTGGCAAGCAATATGACTGACACGTTGGCAGTTGAAGTATATAGGCTTGTCGTCCAGTGTACGCCATTCGGACAAATTGCGCTGTCGAGAGTAGTTGGAACAAAAGCGAGGAGCGGAGGGACGACGATAAAAAGGCTCGGCAGAATAGACTGGTTGAACGGGGTGTAGGCCGACGTTCGATAATTCTTGACGAACGACGGCTTGTATCAGTGAGATAGTGGTCGGTGAAGGATCAGGCGTTGGAAATGGAGTAGCTACTGGTTGAGCTGCCTCGACCTCGCGATGAATGATGCGGGTGAGGTTGTCACATCGGGGAACTGGGCGGACGGCGTCATCGCAAGAGGATGTAGCAGCTGTGTTCGGCAGGCGCGTGATGCCGTGGATGAGGCGGCGGGCTTTAGCCTGTTCTAGACGGCGTCATTCTGTCAGGATGGTGTCGATGCTCGTGACATTATCAAAAAACCAGCAGGTTGAAGGCATCGTCAGCAATCCCTTTGAGTACGTGATTAACTTTTTCGTCTTCTGACATGCGCTGGTCGACCTTGCTACAAAGCGCCAAGACGTCAAGAACGTATGAGACGTACGATTCAGTAGACGTCTGGGCGCGAGTGGCGAGAGTCTTCTTTGCAGCGAGCTGACGACCAGATGAATCGCTGAAAAGATCGCGGATCTTTGATTTGAAAAGACTGACCCGCTCGTACCGGTGCAGCCAGGAATCAACGTCGATGGTACCGTCAGCGGAGAAAGTGCCAGGATCCCGCAGGGGTGGCAGGGTGACGTAGGTTGTAGATTCTGCTCGAGAGGCCGGTGGTGATGAGGCACTGGCAGTTGAAGTAGCTGAATTGTCCCTGGTGTTGTGACCGCTGCGCGTCTCCATCGAGGTACGGTAGTCCTCCACCTCCACCAATAATGTTACGAGTAACTTATTTAATAAATGATATACGATGGACCGTGCTCGGCGAACAAGATGGTGACAGTTCATCAACAACTAGCAACCAACGTCGTTTTTCTCTTTCTTGCAGCAAGGTGTGCCGGCTGTTGTGTATCAATATCATGAAATTATTTCTATTACAAAAATGAATTATTAGACTAACTTGCAGGGTGCCCTATTTGTCATACAGCGGGATTGTTTACCAACTTGCGTATTGTTAGAGTTCAACCACTATATGAATAAATGGTTTATGGTTATTATAAACAATGCACAAAAGACCTAGACAACGCCTTACAAAACTTAGCCAACCCTAAAACAAATGTTGTAGCATACAACACCCGAAACCCAGAGAAGTGGCAAGTGGCACGATGTCGCACAAACTATGAGAACCTTAGATGGTCGAAATTTTCTGACCCCTTCACTACGGCGTCTTTTATACTCATATGTGGTTTTGGGACATTTAACAGCACATATCAATCAGTCAATCAGGTTTATGACCTCCATTTTTTTATTTATCAGCTTAAGTTACATGGTGAGTATGTTAGTTGGCCTTTCTAAGGTTATGATTGACCTGCACATTTGCCTGTGTTGTGCCTTCGTCATTAAACACTTCGGAGTGCCTTAAGCCGTTAAGGCTCAGTAAAGATATGTATCAATATATTGTACACTCGCATACAAGCGAAGTTCGGTGGAGGAGCCACATAATCTGTCGCGCGTTTGTGTGTGTTTACATGTTAGCAGAATGTGTGAAGGTTCAATAGAAATGTTATTCTCTAACTTGAGTTCTCTAACTTGAGTATATCTTAGCACGCGTATGAAGATTCGCACTGTAATATGCTTGAACGTGGCTTATCAGACTTTGGAACTGTGTCTGGCTTTTACCATTAGAACTAACCTCTGCTTAGTGAAAATTATCGCAGTGACTGACTCTGGTGAGATCTGTTCCGGTGGATAGACATATGACCACCGCTGCAGCATTAATCTTGTCGCCGAGCGAACCTAAAGTGCACGCGACCCACATTTCTGCCTAACATCTCAGAGTACCAAAGCCTTGACAAACATCGTGACACATTTTACTATGTGCAGACATAATTGACTGTAAAAGCGCCGAGGAATGATATTGAGATAGTAGCACCGTTTAGTTTCTAAATCATGTTAGCACGAAACGAAGAAGAAAAAAAAAGGCGGGCAAGTGGTGGTAGAGGTGGGGGGGGGGGGGGGGGTCCAGCGCAAAAATTTGGGGGGAAGAGTTGAGCCCCCTCAACCCCTTTGGCTACGCCACTAACTGATATTAACTGATAACAATACTGCAGCACTTGAAGGCGAAATAAGGGAGACAGTGAAAGCACACGTGGCATTTTCTGGGGACTTGATTGCTGTAAAACTCAAGGCCATTTCCTACCTTTGTTTAGGATAAACAAGTAATGCATGAAAAGTAATTGTGGGGGTGAGGAGGCTTGTTTAGTCGCAGACCAAAGTTCAAGATGTTGGCAGCACAGTCAGAGCATAAAATAACATTTTCAGTCGCACCTCAGTTGAAACTTTAAGTGCATCAAGCGGAATGCACCAGAAATTTGAAACACGTCTAACTGAATGAAAAGGGGTGGAGTGCACATCAGATCTGTCTGCCATTGCATGTGACACTGCATTGTTGGTCACATGCGTTGTCAGCAATAGCACTTCTAAAGCAGTAGCATAATTCGCAGCAGGTTCTGCCTTTTTCATCATTTCTACTATGCATCTCCTTCATGCATCGTACTCACTTGGAGTAAACTCTCCCACAAGTTTCTCATTTGGTTTTTTATGATGTGCCAAAGAGTTGAGATCGAGATTGCTAGGGGTGAGGTTTCACATTAGTACAACTTCTCTTATGCTTCTCAGTGTTTTGTGGCAAACAATACTTTTGTTGTGGCTCATTGTGGCTTTGGTTCTGGTGCTTTTTATTTCTATTTCAGTTTGTATCGGAGGCTACTATTCGTGCGAATCTAATGCGCTGATTCTAGTGAGTGTAATGAATGTGACCGAAACAGTTTTCAGAGGGAGACAGATTATTTGGGCAGTGTCGAAATGACATAACCCTGGGCATTGCTCAGTGAACAATTAGGGCATGGTAAACAGCTGTTATCCTCACTGTTGTACATTTGGTTGTGCACTAGTTGCCATGGCAATGTTTAGGCTCTCACAGCACGAAGGGCCATTCATGCACACGTGCATGGTCCTTTGAAAAGCGGGAGCTGGAGGGATGTTTCGAATGAGCCCACCGTATGGACTATCCATTTCAGCACGTGCCAGTATTAACGTTTCTGTCGAGCCGCATCTAATCGATGCATGCTGAAATGGACTCTGTGGACTATTCCAGGTCACCTCTTATCAATAGCCATGTAAAAGCATGCTATGGGTCTGTAGATGCAGTGATGGCCGCTTGAAGGCTCACTACTTCTGCCGGTTTCCACATATTGCAGGTCTTTGTCTGAGGCTATGTCTGTGGAAAAGATTGCAGCTATCAAGGCAAAACGCTTGGCAAAAAAGCGGGCCACCATCAAAGGGGACGATGACCTTGGCCTTGCCGACATGCAGGGCATTCTCGAGTATGATGTAGACGTCACACGTGATATCCTGAGTCGTGAGCGCCAGTGGCGCACCCGGACTACCGTGCTCCAGAGTGCTGCAAAGGTATGGCCTGTTGGGCAAGACTTCTCAACTTCTTTCCCTTCTTCAAGAGGGTCAGCATAATCATCTGGACATTACCACCCACCCTCACTCTGCTGTGATTGTTTCAACTAAAGGTTTTATGGTGTGTAAAGCTACTAGGCATAACTTGCTTGTTGCTGAGAGTGTGTAACTAGTAGCTTGAGGCTAGAGCAGCTTTTTTTTTTAAAAGCTGTTGTAGTTTACTATTGTCTTCAAGGGCACTGTATTACCATATACTATTGCCAATTATAATTCGACCCCAAAACTTGCAACCTCTTCCAGGAAAAAAAAAGAAGTAGTAGTCTCTGATCACAGCCTCATGCTGTACCATAGCATACTAGTAAGTGTTTCAGACGAGGGAGTGATGCAAAAAAACATTCATTTGACCGTGAAACATTGCTTACAACTTATCGTCGCTTGAGAGAAACATGCAGTAGTCACGGTCATTGCCAATGTGTGAGCCACTGCTGCTGCTCGCCGTCGGAAGGGGTGCTGGTGGTACTGAGATGCCGCACGCAGAAAACACGGTGCGGACCATGTCGCTTAGCAGACCATACTAAGCATCGTTAACCCATTGCGCTACTTCACTCAAAGAGCTCGGTTTTGAACTTGGTTAGTTACATGCACATATCCGTCGCGACAGTACGTGCTTTTGCTTCAATATCATCGTAGCAAACACTCGGGCTTTTGCTTCTCTGGTCATGAACTGCCTCCTCGACGGCAGGGTATCGTCCAGTCTTCGGTCCGCGAAAGGAATGGTGTGACGCAGTGCACGCAAAGATCTTGGTTCTTCGTTTTCTCCGTTCTCTCGCTCTTTTCCGACACATCGAACTTCCGTCCTACTTCAGTGTGGCTTTCCGATTCTGTGTAGAGGATTGCTTTCTGCTTGAAACCAGCGCTGTACTGTTGCCGGTGTAGTGATGGCATTGTGGCGTTCGCTGAGCAGCTTCGCAAATTGCGCACACCTCTGTTGGCAAGCGAGGTGAAATGCAGAAATGGCGAACAGGCATGAACTCGTAAAGACGTCAAGACGCTTGTGGGCGCATGCGACTGGTCATGTTGTTTAGTTCCTAGTGAAGTGTTGCCAGCCCACACGGCGCTGCTAGCTTTTCCGTGGAACACCCATGGTGCTTCGCAGGACATGAATTTTTGAAGTGTCTAGTCGGCAAGCTCTGTTAAAGCACGCAGTCCACTCAAGCGAGAAAGGCATGTCAGGTCTTTCGCAAACAATAAACATCGCGTTTTCGTGTGAGCGAGAGATGAACACATGTCACATTTGTTAGTGAGCGATCAACGCATGTTGCGTGTCTGTGAGCCAAATGCACTGTCGTACCCATATGCGGCGAGTGCTGGTGTTGTTGCCGATCTTGCCCGACAGACACGCCTATGCAGTGGCACTACCATTAAAACCATGATGGCGTCGACGACGCGGCGTAAAAAAAAAAGTGCTGCATCTCCGACGTGCTTTTGCTGACACCTCCTCTTATAACCCGCTCAGCCGCGGTGATCTAGTGGCTAAGGTACCTGGCTGCTGACCTGCAGGTCGTGTGATCAAGTCCTGGCTGCTGCAGCTGCATTTTCTATGGAGGTGACAGTACAGCTATTTGCTGAAATTACACCACGCTGCGCCAAGATACTCAGCCAGGCTCAAAATTTTTTCAGGTGCACTAGTTTCCGTGATAAATGCAGGCCACGTCGGTCACCTGCAGATTTCGCTATCAGTCAAAGCGCACAGACCTTAACTATAGTTCCTGCAATATGCTTAAAATATTCTAGGCACCCGTCCTAAATATTCTAGGCACACGCCGCATAAATAGTAGTACCAGTATAACCACCGACATCTAAATAAGCTAATGGAAATCATTTGGAGCAGTGTATGATATTTATGTGTTTCTAAAAAAAACTAACTAAATTGTGCGCCAGTTACTTTTTCGCAACCCTACTTCTCGGTTTTACGAATTTCCCGAATTTTAAGGTCCCGAGCTTAGCAGATTCGTATTTAGATTCACAGGGTTTGTTGAGTGATTTGACAGGCGTAGCAAATGCTAAAATGGGCTTAATTATTGTTTGTGCAGTGGGGTGGTTGAAAATAATATTTTCATTGAAATAGCAGTGCTCATGTTCATATTGCATGATTTAGGTGATGTTCAATGGTTTATACTGTCGAATCTCATTCATCGAAACACGCTTAATTTGAACTTCCGGTTAATTCAAACTCACGCTGAGGTCCCATCAAAGCGTCTCATCAAAGTATTCCAGTGGGTGAAAATGCCCTGTAATTCGAACGCGCCAGCACTTGCGACGGTCAATTCGAACATGCCATGCTCCCAAAATTTTCTCAGCACTACGCCCAATCCCGCGGCGGCACCTTCGACACCTCAACGCTGGGCGCGAAGGAAAAGAAAAGGAAAGAAATGGCTGCAGTGGAATGTTTGCTCTCTCTCAAATGCCGATTTGCGACGTGGCTGTGCCACGCTTCTCCCTTTTCTGTCGCTGCCACATACTGACCCTTCTTCTTTCAACACCGTGTGCGAAGAGAGAGGAAAAAAATCACAGCATATCCACAGAGTAAATAATGATGAGTGGGGCGAAGCGCTGGAGGGTTATATATATATACAAATACTATATATATTTATGCAAGGAATTCAACAATTCGTAAGTGGTAGCTCAACATCTCTTCTGTTCCCCCTTCATTATAAGAGCTTTATGGTCGGTGAAGTGATGGGTCGGTGATGCGGCATAGTGGTGTGTTTTCAAAGACGAAGTAGTGGGAAAGGTGGAACTATAGGTGGTCACGTGCAATCCAGGAATAGACACTGTGAGACAATCTGTGGCTTTTTAATGCGCACCTGGATAGAGGTGTGCATACACGACCATCTTGCATTTCATATTGGCTACTTTTCTACAGTATTTGCTTTATGGTCGGTGAAGTGGTGGATCGGTGATGGGGCGTAGTGGAATTTTTGCAAGGACGAAGTAGTGAGCAGCTGGGCGGTCATGTTTATACATATTTACATACAAGTGATGGACCGACCCATGCCTTTAAGAGCTTCCCCCCCCCCCCCCCCCAAAAGATAGCTGTCGCGGAGTGTTGGCTTTCACGTGCTGGTGCCACGCTTCCCCCTTTCCCATTGCTGTCACGTAGACCCTTCTCCTTTCAACGACATGCAGGAAGAGAGCAAAGAAGAAAAAAAAAAGTCCGTGGAGTGTTAGTTCTCTCTCTAATGCCAGTCTGCTTCTCTCCGTGTGGAGACGCTCCTCCTTTCTCGTCACACGCTGGCCACGCTGCTGCTGCGTAGCGGAGACGCAGTCGTTTTGTCCTCGTCTTTAGAGAGTGTCGGCGCTGGACATTGCTGTGCGCAACTTCTTTTGCCAGAAGAATGCTGAAGCCGAAATAGAAATGCTTTGCAAGCTCCGTGCGAAATTGACTCGCTGCTAGGCAAACATGTGCTGACACGCGTCGTTGATTACTTCAATTAATGATGGATGTCCTATTTGTGAATAATGTAAGTCTTCTGAAACTTCCCCCTCGTGCGTTAGCTCAATGCACATGTGCCACTGCATGGTGAGCCCTGCATTCATTTAGCTTTCATTAATTCAAACTTCTTTTAATTCGAAGACATTTTCGGGCCCCTTCGGAGATTCCACTGTACATACCTTATTTTTCTAATTGTAAGCCTTCCTTTTATAATGCTTCAAATTTGGTATTTCATGATAAAAAATTCAGTGTTTCTTCTCCGTAACCTGCTCTAAAATTGGATTTTAGTGCTCCAAAAGTAACGCTTTGCTGCTCCAAAAATTTCTCCACATGTATTTCGGCTGTTGCACCCCTAGAAATTCTGTAGGCCGGTGTGCTCGGATTTGGGTGCACAATAAAGAACCCAGGTGGTAGAAAATTCCGGAGCCCTTCACTACAGCGTCTCTCATAATCATATGGTGGTTTTGGGATGTTAAACAAAACATACAAATCAATTGTTTTCTAGCCACCATAGCTATACTGTAGTTTCGTGATCGTTGCAGCAGATCGTAAAAATGTCAGGCTCCGGAAGCGGTGCATGCAAGTTGGAGGATAGCAGTTCTAGCCACTGTTGCCTTTGTGGCTGATGTTATCGATCCGTTGAATAGTAGTGAATCCGAAGACGACGATCGTTCGTCGCACCGCTCAGAAAAATTGACATTATGATACCAAGTCGACTTTATGATTCGGTTATAGGTCGACCCCTCAACTATGGAAGGCCATTTTATGAAAAAAAAAAAAAAAAAAAGTCCTCCTATGATCGGCAATATATGGTATGTAAATATTGTATTATTTATAAAACAGGAGTTGGCTAACACAGAAATATTGTATTATTTATAAAACAGGAGTTGGCTAACACAGATGAACCTCGATATAAGAAAGTTCAGTGTAAGGAAATTCTCAATTAAAGAAGTATTTACCTTTTATAACTTTGTGGTCATAGGGCATTATGTATTTTAGCTTCAATTAAAAAGAAACGCGTTTCTCCGATATTTCAAAGCTACGGAAACAACAAAGGAGCGGTCCCCCGCAGGGGCGCCTGCACTAGTAGGCGTTTGGTGTGTAGCGACACCACGGACCTGAGCTAACGGGGGAGTTTTGGTTCCCTCCCACGCCTAGCCATGCGTGGCTTTGCCGTGTCCGGGGAAAAGGGGATCCTGGGCGTTGAGCTGACGCCGGGTGATTGGACCTTTAAGGCCTCCTGGCGGAAGCAACACACCCCTTTGGCCCCGGCTTCACGTAGACGGCACCCCTGGGCTGACCCACCCAGGGGAAACCGGCAGTCGCCTTTTCCTGTCTCTGCCTCTCTTCATCTTCGTCTTTCCCTCTTACTTTCAATATTTCCTTACTTTCAATTTACTTCTGTTTTTCCTGGCGGCAAGGGTTAACCTTGTGTGGCTATCCAAACTAGGGTAAACCATATTGGGTTATAGTAACTGCGTACTGCTGGCGTTGCGCAGACATA